AAACATGTTTAAAACTTGACTTCGGTCAACTCCCACGTTAAAAGTTTTAAGCCAAAAAGAAACAGGGTGATATCCTCTTAAAACTAAATTTAGAAAAGTTGACACAGTTGTCAAAGGGATATGAAATGACGAGAGAATCGAAACAGTCTCATTAACACGCGATCAGACTCCACAATAGGTGATATGATCCCAGAAATATGCTGGAAGGAGCACTTGCACAAAGTGTTAAGCCATTGTATCATTTACTTTAGACCTTCAGTAAAGTTTTGGTTGGTTTTAATCAAAACAAATTATTCACAGGTAACTTTAAATCGGTTTGAAGCCAAAGATATGAATAAAGTTCTGGAACCATCAATTTACGAATATGTCCTATTTACGTCAAGTCTGAAAATACACGGTATTTATTCAAAACAAAATTAGTAGAGATGCGCGAACTATGAAAAAACATAAACTAAAGATAGTTTAGTGGAACAAGTTGACTACTCAAGTCTCTAGAACGGGTGTTCAGAAAAATGTTATCATTATCAAAGAAATTGTCTGTTATTTGTTTATCCAAGCAAAATATGAAACTTTCGCTAATATCTATCTATAGCGGAATGTTTTCTCTTTATTTAAACATATTAAATATTTTTTTCTGAAAACCTGTTAAAAAGATATAACCCATTTTATGCGTTCCGATTTTGAGTGAACAATGCTTTATTTGCGTATGTAAAATTCATGAAAACATGAAACAAAATTTTTTTGGATTTGAACTGGAATAAACACGAAAAAATTCAAACTTCAAAAAAAGTTGTCGAGAATATATAACCGAGATCGTTTGCCAAAATGCTACTGCTAATTGCCTTCTTGGGGATTGTAAAAAATGCCCTGGCACAAAATCTAGCTCAAGAATTGACATCTATTTTGAAAGATTTAAACATCAAAGGCATTGAATTTTCTCAATGGCTCACTACGGATCGGTATATATACAATTTTTGATCCTTTTTTTCCAAAGATATATAAGTAAGAGATATAAGTATTTATTTTGCAGATGCCAGATTGTAACTGTTTCCGAAAAAACTGCTGTTTTTTGCGTAATCTTTTTAAGGATCTTGTTGTGGTCGCAAAACATTATTTCCTGGCAAAATCTCAGGCTTGATACCTCGAGGAACTCAAAAAATCAATTGCAGTTGGGGAATTCATCGTTACACTTGATTTCTCGGAGAATTACTCATTCCAGGTCCAAAATGCTATACGGTCACAATATTGGTCCAAAGATCAAGCAACTCTCCATGTTTACGTTGTGTACTTCAAAGAAAATGGTGATTTGCAACATGCTAATTTTATCGTCTTTTCCGAAAAATCAAATCACGACGCTACTGCAGTTCATTTATATAACACTAAGTTCATCGCATTTTTGAAAGAAAAATTCGGCCGACTTGATGTTAAGAAAATTTATAATTTTTCCGATGGCGCCGGGTCCCAGTATAAAAAGAAATACAATTTTATCAATTTGTGTTATCATCAAAGCGATTTTGGTATGCCGGCAGAGTGGCACTTTTTCGCAAAGGGGCGTGCGATGGTGTAGGCGGGACCGTGAGAAGGTGCGCATATCGTGCTAGTTTACAGAAAAAAAAAAACACTGAAAGAATTACAACGACTAGAGAACTCTTTGATTGGGCACGAGAATATTTTAAGAAAATCAACTTCGATTTTTGCATGGAAGCCGAGTATGAGACACACTAAAAGAAATTGGAACCACGTTTTGCTGAAACAAAAACGATAAAGCAAACACGGCAGCATCATTGCTATCAGCCTGTAAATAAAAATATTGAGTGTAAATTTTCTCACGTTGCACAAAAAGTGATATTCAGCAAATCAAAGTGTAAAACTGTTTTCAAATATCCAGATTTTGAGAAGAGTCTCGAAATTAAGCCGACTCGCTGAGCGGCACCCCCACGAATACGAGCGCTCGAATGTCAACAAACAAACGCTCGGCGTATTTTCGCATTTATACTTAGCAAAAATTTTCTTTCGTTAAAATGTTTATAATGAATATCTGAACAATGCTCTTTTTTAATTTTTTTCGTAAACATATGAGAACATGTAAAAATGTTGCTTTGGTTTTTTGTAAATTTTTTTTTTGATAAATAAACATTTGAATTCATAAAGTCTATGATGCACTTGATGCGCTAAACTTTCACGAACGTGTAGAATGTAAGATTACTTATTTCCGTCAAGTATTAACAAAGATATTGTCAAAATAAAAAACAATGCTCGAAAATTTCAATTGCTTATAACTAATAATAAAATTTATATTACGCAAAACTACTTTGATACATTCATTTTCATCACATAAACTATCATTAACAATCGAAAGGTACATGGAATTCCAAAGCTCACTTTGGAGGGGCCCACTTGGGAAAATTTGACTCAGTAGCGTTGAATGGCTGACAATGTCGAACCCCTTAGACAGGTCCAGCGCTACTAGAATGGTTCTCTCACAGGGGCGCTTTCGGTTTAGGCCACGAGTTATCTGGGTATTTATGGCGTTAAGTGCTGTTGTTGTACTGTGCAGTTTACCGAAGCCATGCTGATGCTTCGCTGGGGTCAGGTGGTTTGTAAAATACGGAAGTAGCAAGGTCTCTAGTGTCTTCGCTACCGGGGAAAGGAGGGTTATCGGACGATAAGACTCTCCTTTGTTGGCTGGTTTCCCCGGTTTGAGCAGTGGGACCACTCTCCCCATCTTCCAGATGTCTGGGATCATGAGAGTGGCCATTGACAAGTTGAGGACCTCCGTTAGGTACGCTACTCCCGTAGGGGCCAAATTTTTCAGCGTCAGCATGCATTTCCGTCTGGTCCAATGGCTTTGGAGGCTTTCGCCTTCCCGATGGCTACCCTTACCTCACCGCTGGTGAAAACAAGAGGCGCACTTGGTTTTGGCAGTTTGTGCAGCCTTCTGGTCACTTGACGTTTGGCTTTATTCACCGGAGGATGCAGGATGAACTTCCGGGTAAAATAGCTCGGGCATCGCTCTGGGTCCGATGAAGCGTGTTCACCAAAGTCTATTTCAACTCTGTCGTCACGCTTCGTCGGGTTGGACAATGACCTCACGGTTGACCAAAGCTTAATCACACCAGAGGCGAAGTTGCAGGTCTTTAGATGCTCTTCCCATTTCTTCCGCTTATGTACGTTTACAAGTTGCCGAATCGCCGAGTTGAGATCCCTAATGCGGAGATTTCCGGTATCGGCCTGACGAAGGTTGTCGCGCTCATCGCCTAGGACAGCCGCTTCTGCAGGAAAATACGGACGAGGGTCCGATATGCATCCCGCTGGGATGGAGCGGGCTGCAGCAGCAGTGACAACCCTGCGGAACTTACGTTCACTTACGTGAACGTCCGTTGGTATGGGTAGCGCAGTGAAGGCCCTTTCAGTAACATCCGCGAAGCCTTTCCAATCAGCTTTAGAAAAGTTGACATAGGTCCGGTGATCCGCGGAAGCAAAGTCGGCTGGTTTATCAGTCGAGATGATTATGGGCAGATGGTCTGATGCTAAAGTCAGCATAGGTCGCCATGATACGCTGTTTATCAGACCAGCGCTGACTATTGTTAGGTCTGGTGAGCTGCAGCAGCTGCCCATAATCCTGGTGGGTGCGTCGTCGTTCATTGTGCAGAATGTCGCATCGTCTATCTGCTGAGCCAATTGTGTTCCCCTACGATCGTTTGACAGGCTTGAATGGAGAAGATCGTGGTGCGCATCGAAGTCACCAACTACCTTACGGTTTTCACCTCTGAAGAGCGCACCTATTTCAGGGCGATATCCTGCCGGGTAGCTGGTGGCAGGGGGTATGTATATATTAAATATTTCGAGCTCGACATCGCCTGTCCGGATAGCAATTCCCTGAAATTCAAGGATGGTATCACTGCGGTCGATGTCTGCTTCGATAAGACGATACTGCACGGTGTGGTGCGTGATGAACGCTAGGCCTGCACCATTATCTCGCTCGCGATCTCGATGGTGCATGTTGTATCCGGCGCAAGTCAACAGTGTTGAATTGCCGTGCAGCTTCGTCTCTTGGATCGCAGCTATTAATATTCCGTGCCGACCCATGAAGACCGTTATCTCCTCGATCTTGTTCTGAAGTCTGTTACAGTTGAATTGTAAAATCTTCGTGTACCTAGGGAGACTTATTGGAATGTGGGGTTTTAGTGATGTGTGTCGCCGTACCGCCACATGCTGTGCTTGCAGCCGCTGTTGTGGGGTTAGTGGTCGGCGTCGCAGCTGGGGGTTGCGACCGAGCAGCACAGCATGGGCCCTCATAGTCCCTCGTCCAATCTCGCGTGGTGCGCAGTCTTGAGCATGCCCTAAAGTTACACCAGCCAAGGCAGGTGTTGCACTTGACTGCTGTCACATTACGGAATATCCTGGACTGGCAAACCGTGCAGATTGTCGGAGGAACTAGGAGTTGTTGGCGGTGGCGTGTAGGTGGTGGTGCAGTGGCATCTGTGGTGTGGTCTGTTGTGTCTGTGGTATTGTCTACTGTATTGTGTTGTGGTGCGGTTGTGTTTGTGTTGCGTTGCTCAGGCGGACTCTGTTGTGCCGTGGCCACGATTGGTGCAGCAAGGGCCACGTACGCAGTGGTCCATTGCCTGTGAGACGTGAGGCCTGAACAAACTCGGAGGTGGCTCCTCCCATTGAATGTATTGCATCTGACGGAGGTGGAGTTGTGGTGTAATCGTATCTGGCACACGCAGAAAGTATATGTTTCTGGCCCAGGGTTTGACTCAGTGCCAGCCCTGAGCAGAAGTACGCGAAGAAGAAGTAGCCCTATGGACGTACAACTTTTGAGGGATTTCGTCGACCTAAGCGGGGTTAGATCGCCGAAACAACAGCTCTTGGTCGGGTAAAACCCGAGTCATTCCGGTACGTAGAACCGGCAGTCGTGCCGCCTAAATATCATAAGGAAATTCAAATAATAAATAGTTATTAGAATTTTTGTGAAGACTCTGGTGAGGGTAGCAATGGGAGGCAGAACGCCATTAACTTGTAAAAATCACCGACCAAAAGTATGATAACAGCCTAAATCATATTTTTGGTCGGTGATTTTTACAAGTTAATGGCGTTCTGCCTCCCATTGCTATCCTCACCAGAGTCTAAATTCACAAAAATTCTAATAACTATTTATTTTTTGAATTTCCTTATTTTTAGCTCTTGTGGAGATCTTACGCCAACAAACCCAAATGTATTCATAGAACAAAAGTTACATAATAATTTTATACAATCGACCTTTTTTTTATTTTTAGAGCTCTGCTGATTCTAACTATTCGCAACCCTCATCCGATCTGTCGCTTGACGATGAAAAGGAAACGCTTCGGCGAGAAAAGGAGCGGCACGCTTTAAATCAGTTGGAAAAAGCGAGGGTTCGTTGTGCTTAGAGTACTTTTACTTTTATTACATGTTTGAAAAATGCAGGGAAAACCCGTAGCTTTTGCAGTCCGGACAAATGTTGCTTATGATGCTACTCTTGATGATGATTCACCTGTCCAGGGTAGCGCAGTGTCTTTTGATATAAGAGAGTATCTTCATATCAAAGAAAAATACGACAATAATTGGTGGATTGGTAGACTGGTTAAAGAAGGTTGCGATGTTGGGTTCATACCGAGTCCAGTTAAGTTAGAACACATTCGCTTACAGGTAAGTTAGTATATCTCAAATAGATTGGGAACTAAGAACTTTATTTAAAAACAAGAATCAGACGAGACCGTCCAGACTATACGGTACTAAGGGTTCCTCTACAAGCAACTTAGGCTCAAACCAGGCGGAACCAACACGTGGTAGTACTCCACCTACACCTGGTAAGTGGAACTTGTGTGAAGACCTCAAATCATAGGCTTTTAAGGCCTCCATAAATTATAGAATTTTTAAATTATTATTTACATACATAAGTATACGAATTTGAATTGTAGTAAATTTGTATAATATTACATGCATACATACATACATATATGAATTTTGATTTGACGAAAAAAGAAATGTGAAGACCCCAAATAATAGGGATCTCCACAAATTATGGAATATTGTAATTATTATTTACATACCTACATACGTATATGAATTTTAATTGCAGTCAATTTTTATCAAATAAAATACCTCTTTGAGGCAAAATTTTCGAGTGATGAAAGCTGAACTAGAAACACAAAATTTATGATATCAATTTCGTGACGAAAATTATACGCATTTTTTTAACTGCCCTGGAAATTTTACCTCAAAGAGATATTTTATTTGATATCAATTATTTTGGGATACCGAATTTAAAATCAACGAAAATCCAAACAAAAATCTAATTTCTTTTCTCAAAGAAATTGCTAAAAACGCTATCTAAATCTAATTGATTTATTCAAATATTTAACATTGCATTCAATTCCATTGAAACATACTATAATTTTTCGAATACGGAATAAAGCGACGAAGAATGATCATATACTTCGTATCAAAAAAAAATATTAAAAATTAAAGAAAAAAGATCAATTGTGAAAATTAATAAAGACGTAGCAACTTGGTACCAACATCAGATACAATAAGCAACTGTATTCGTCTCATTCTCTGCGTTGCACACATGTGTTCTTCTAAGAAGTTTCACTTCTATCACGACTACGGTGCTTCACTCGCCTTTTTTACTCATGTGTTTTTGCTCAGCGGCAATTCTATCTATCTATATACTTATTTCTAAAAGGTATTTTTCTGTTACCAAATGACATCTCCTTTAATATTTTATCAAATTTTATGAATGGTATCTCATTTTGAAGGAGAGAAACTCACGTACATGCGAAATATAGTCACGTTGTTCAAATTTAATTATTTATTTAAAAAATGGGGTTTCAAAAAGCTGAAAGCACTGTATCCGGTCAATAAAGCGCCATATCTTCCATAATACTTCATCAAAAACACCATTTTGAAGGAAAGCTGCACTGCTTGAGGTAAAAATAAAAACTGTTTGATAGGGTTGCCACCCGCTAAAATTTTTGGGATTTAATATATACTGACTAAAATATTACAACGGATTAAGGGAATGAAAGTTAAATACCTAAACTAATTAAATTAAATGTACTCTTAACCAGAAGTAATAATTTTGAAGAGGGTTGCCAACTATTTAAAAATTGATATCTATATATATAAAACTAAACGTATGACCCCATGACTCGAGAACGGATTGTCCGATTTAAGTCGACTTTTTTTAGTTGTGTGTGACTTTGCCCAAGGAAGGAGATATATGAAAGCAATATCAAACTCATGGAGAGAAGTGGGGCTATTTGAAAATGAGGCATTGTGTGTGTTTGAGGGGGTCTCTGGATAGTTTCAGTTCACAATTTGACACTCCAGGTGGAGCTGGAATCGAGTTATTACTAAAAATGGTATGCATCATCCTATTCGGCTTATATTCGAAACATGTCGCACGTTTAATAATATAGAGATGTAGCTCAAAATTAAGTTTTTCGCGATTTCATCATACAATTAATAAGCTTGATAAGTAGAACATGTTCAGCCCAACAGATATCTAAACTTCCCAAACATCGAAAAGATATGGGTATTTTCAACTGTCTTTTTGTATACCAACTGTATGAATTGATCAAACTTTGATTGCATTTACCCACAAAATTGAAATTTTGAGATACTTCTGGTATCGTAAATATTGTCGTGAAAAAATATACCCGCCAAGTGACTAATGAGTCGAGTTATTACTAAAAACTCGTATTTATGATGCGATTTTCTCATGTTCGGGATAATGGTAAGGACAATACATTTACAAAAAGGAGCCACCAGGTGGGGCTGGAGTCGAGTTATTACCAGGGCTGCAAACTACTCCTAAAACGGGGCGGTTCGGTTCAGTGGTTTGAACAACTTCGAAAAAGCTTATACCGGTTCAAGAACCGCTTCGTGAGTATTCCTGAACCGCGGTTTCAGTTCGGTTCAAATTGTTAAATTGTTTTAATGCCAAAGGATACAAATATTACAAAAATATGATAAATCTCCATATAAAAAATAAAATGCCTTTTTGTTGAGATCAAATTCAAATATACACATGTATAACGATGTATAAAATAGGGACGCGACGTTTTTAAAATTACTGCATTTTTCTTATTTAATGGTTATTGTTTTAAGTATAGTTCATCTTCTAATCTCTGGCCTAGTTGGCATTTTTCTTCGTTGATAACTAAATCTCTCTCACGATAACGTCTAAAGAGTTGTTCCAGGTGCTCGACCTGCTCTGCCTCTGACGCGGATGCTATGAGTACGTCGTCAAGATATGGGAAAACAGACGGTAGTCCCTTGACGGATTCGTCGATAAATCGTTAAAACGTTTGAGCGGCGTTCCTTAGGCCAAACGTCATATACTTAAACTCAAAAAGCCCGACAGGTGTTAGTATATCAGTCTTTGGGACATCAGTTGCATACACCGGAATCTGATGGTACGCTTTCCTATAATTGACTACATAAAAAATTGTTTTACCATATAGGTCGATTCAAAAGTCCTGAATGTGACGCACGGGATAACGGTCTGGAATTGTCTTTGCATTTAATCGTCGGTAATCGCCGCATGTGCGCCAGGAGCCGTTAGATTTCTGCACCATGTGCAACGGACTAGACCATTGGCTCTTCGAGTGCTGACAAATTTCGCGCTTCAACAAATACTCGAACTCTTTCTTAGCGATTTTCATCTTTTCAGGGGAAAGACGACGTACATTCTGAACTACAGGCAGAAACTTATTAACATGTCGTCAGTATTTTCCCATTCTTAGCGACGGATTTGGGAAACAGGGGTCCGTAGTTATAGTCAAAATAAAGACTACTCTAAAGTTAGTTGCAGCTTTTTGACATAATTTTCGGTGGGATGGCTTCAAATGCATTATCAGTTATTGTCTAACTTCGTTAGTATTGCTACCTATTGTCGGCATTTCGATTATGTTGCCGGCTTTCATCGCCAAGTCCTTTTTGTCGGGGTGGGGGTCGCTAAAATTTTTTTGTGCATGGATTGGTAAACGTCACAGCCATAAAGATTTTAAAATTTCTTTGTCCAAGCGATGGTTGGCAAGATCCCTCATTTCTTTGAATAAGGTTGTCGGTTTTTTGTCGCCCAACTCTCAACCTCCGAACAAACTTTTCAGTCGCTTTTCGTTTGACTCACCAAATTCGCTACTCAGCCTCTACTCCAAGGCTTCTTATTTGCATGTAGCAGGTGGCGAAGAAATTATGTCACTGGCGTTTGCCAGTACTGCCGAGTCTATTTCGACCACAACCGTGGAGATTCCCACGCCAAAACGGTCGTGCCTTCACGGTGAGCAGTGCCACTCGAAAAGGGGTAACTGCGTCCTCAAATCGGTTTTCCGTTTATTTAATAAAAGTATAATCAAAGTATTACATTTCAAGAATTCAATCGATCGCGTCGGTATTTTGTATCTATATCGATATGAAGTTGGTTTCGGTTCGAGGCTAAAAAGTATTAATGTTGCCACCTATAATATATTCGTCCATCAGTGTTAGGTCAGATCTCTACATATGTAACTTTAACGAAATTGAGAACTGAGAATAGTAAAAAAAA